GCTGCTACCCCAGCAGATGATGGCAGAAGAGATATCGCTCTCTACAACAGATTTATAGAAGATGAAGCATCTTGCTGCAAACGTTGAAGGACTTCAGCTTCCTCAAGAAGTACAGTCTGCTCTGTTCCTTGTAGACGGCTTCACTGTTGCATCTCCAGTCCAGTCTGTTGTCCAGGTGAACCCCGAGGTATTTATACTTCTCCACCGCCTCCACTTATTCTCCCATGATGGAAATAGTGTCGGACCTGTTCCTGTTTCTCCTGAAACCTACAATCATCTACTTTGTTTTGTTCACATTCAAGACGAGATGATTGTTTCCACACCGTGCCACAAAGCGGTCCACCGGTTCCCTGTACTCATTTTCTAGTCCATCTCTGAAACGCCCGACCACTGCAGGGTCATCTGAATATTTCTGCAGCTGGCAGGAGTCTGTTTTGTACTGGAAATCTGAGGTGTACAGAGTGAAAAGGAATGGTGAGAGTACAGTACCCTGTGGTGCTCCTGAGCTACTGACCACCTGATTAAAAGGACAAAAAACAACTTAAGTCTGAATTCAAGACTAATAGGATCAAAATTAAGTCTTGCGGATAACAAATTCCATGTTACATTCCAAGACAAGGCAAAAAGTACTATGAATTATACCAAGTCAAGCTCATCCATCCATCCTTTATTTACCCACTTGATTGTGTTCATGGTCACACCCTGAACTAATCACCAGTCCGTCACATGGCCAGGTCAAGATCTATAAAGCTCTATTCACGATCCAAGTCAAGACTAGCAAGTCTCAAGAGAAGTTCTACAACAACACTAACGAAATAAAACAAAAAACAAGTCCCTCCTCTGATGTGAAGACAACACCTCTGAGTCTAAGGTCCCACAATAAGACTCAAGTTTTTACTCATAGGTCCCATTCATAATCGAAGAAGAATCAAGAATAACATGCTTGTTTGTTGTGATCATTAAACATTAATTTCCTTTTATTCTTCTCTTTGTCTTTATTTCTTCAGGGTCAAAACCCGTCTAAATTTCAAGAAGACTCGTGAATCATTGGACCATCAACCTGTCGGACTAGACACTACTTGGCAACACAAACACACATTGCAGAAAACTATTGCAATTAGGACATGTTTACTTCTAGATTTATTTGTAAATTTAGTTCAATATGGTCATGCTGAATATAACCCCATTCTGTATTTATTTCGCGCGTCTTTCATGAATTCATAAAATATTTTTAAATAAGCACGGTATATCAAAACTTTCACCAAGATATATTTGTCTTAATCTAGTCAACTGTGGAATAGAGTTTTGTTATATTTGTACACAGTACTTTTTATATATATATATATATATATATATATATATGTATAATATATATATATATATATATATATATATATATATATATATATATATATGTATATGTATATATGTGTGTGTGTATATATTATGGTCATTTAATAAAGCAACAATGAGTACAGTTAAGCATCTTATTTGAGTCTCTTTTCAGAGTGGAGCTCTAAACTTAAGGTCTGGTATGTAGGGATGTTGTTTAGCCTCCTTAATCCTCCCAGTTGATCCTCATTTTCTTCCTCTGGGGCTTGATGCTGAAAGGAGCTGTGTGTGTTACAGTCTGAACAAAGAAAAACTGAAAACGGGTAAACATGAAACACTCTACGCTTATTGTTATTCAGATCAAAAATCATTTTAAAGAAAAGCAGTTCAATAAAAAGTGCCCTCAGGGTCAGAGGTCATGGTCAGGAGTGGCCTTTCTCGCCCTACAACAATATATGGCTCAAAATCAAAGTTCAAGCAAACAGGTCCAAGCCAACACCTACAGGGTTCATGGAAAGATTTAAGTTCAGACCTGTAGGTCTCAGTTGAATATTGCAGTTACAAGAGTGAGATAAAGATTGAAGTTCCGACAAACAAGTCCTTAGACAAGACGGGCAAGATCCTGGTAAAAGTCAAAGTTCATGCTAAGGTGTTCCACTTCAAGACCAACATGATCCTGGTAAAGGTTTAGGAACAGGTCAGCAAGTTCCAGTTCAGGTAAAAAAAAATTAAAAAAAACATGTCAACTCCTAAAACAAACCAACAGGTCCACTCCAAGGTTAAATTTAGAATCAAGATAAAGGTCAAGGTCTAAATCCAGACAAACATATATTGTAGTCACACAATATTTTGCGGTTCAACTTTCGCAGACTCACTCTTTCGCGGGTTTTCAACGCAAGATTGTACACAACACACAATTAGCTGATTGATGGAAGGTGACCAACCAGAGCATTGTGCTGAGGGGCGGACTGGCCATCAGGAGCACCGGGACATTTCCCGGTGGCCTGGCCCGCTCAGTGATCACTGAGGGCCCCCCTCCTTTCTCTTTCTGAGACTGTCTGTCACAGCAGAGCAGAGACACACAACAGACAGGTGCACAACTTGTTGTGTGTCTCTGCTCTGCTGTGAAAAACAGCCTCAGAAAGAGAAAAGGGGCGGGGTCTGCCTTTCCCCGTCACTGCTATGGGAGCTTCAGTGAGGCAGATACCAGAGTGAGCAGTATGGATTGTTTACCGTATTTTTTGGACTATAAGGCGCACTTAAAATCTTTTTATTTTCTCAAAAATCAACAGTGAGCCATAAAATCCAGTGCGCCTTATGTATTAATTCTGGTTTCGCTTACTGACCCCAAACTGATTTTATGGTTATTGTGAATGAGTTGAATAAAGTTTGACTTATCTGACCGTTCTGTTTCACTTAATGCGCCTTATAATCCGGTGCGTCTTATGTATGAAAACAGACTCGTTCCTTCTTATTGTGCCTTATAATCCGGTGCGCCTTATAGTCCGAAAAATACGGTATTTAAAATAATCAAGTGCAACCCGAACCGATCTGCGATCGATGAGCAGGCCAGGCCACCGGGAAATGTCGCAGTGCTCCAGATGGCTAGTCCGCCCCCAGATGCTGATTGGCTCAGTAACTAAAGCATCAGTCTGTCTGCTCTATTTCGCTGTGCTCTTTTAGAGCGTTTAGAACATTGTTAAGAACAGTGCAAGAGTGTGGGAAGGGTTAATAAAGCCTTAATATAAATACATAGATACTAAAATAAATATAACGTCCCTACCTCGCAGATTTTCACCTATCGTGAGAGTATCTGGAACGTAACCCCCGCGATAAGTGAGGGACTATATGCAGTTATAAGCAGGGGTGGAAGTATCGACTTACAAATACTCACATTACTGTAATTAAGTAGATTTTTATGGGTACTTGTACTTTTATGAGTACTTCTTTCAAGTGTGTAATTTTACTCTTACTTAAGTACAATTTAGACCATGTAATCTACTTCGCTACTTTTAAAATCAGAAGTCGCTACTGAGTACGGGTGCAATTTAAATTAATATTCAAACCGTTCGTCTGCATCTTTGTAGCCAATATGGCTCTCAGATCGCGAACGCACCAATTACTATGACGTAAGCAAAGTACAACTCAATAGAGTCATTTATGGACTGAAGATTTGGAGAAAAAGCCAAAATGGAGACAGACAACACTGTCAACAGAGAAAATGACGAGATCAAGGCTGAGGACGAGTGCCCGTGGACGTACCTGGAGGTATTTTTCATGTACAGAGGGTGAAAAGGAGACAGAGTCCAGATGCAAACTGTGTTTGATCTCTATGGTGATAGCAACTTACAAGACTTCAGCATCTAATCTCAAAAACATATTGCGTTATACGAGGTTTTACCTGTATGATATTGCTTTTTTATTGTTTGAATGTGTCGGTTATTAGTTTGGCTAAGTATGCAAAGATCTTTGCCTTGTACTAAAATAAGACGGCGCTTCTGAGCGTCTGAGAAATGTACTTTGAATGTAGCCAAATAAAGGTTGAATGAATGGATGAATGAATTATATACAGTAAATCAAATTGAATGCCTTCTATTGACAACACAATGAAACATCAATTGGTTAAAATAATACTCTGAGGATTATTGGGCATGGACTTTGTTGTTTTCAACCAGTTTGACACAACTGTCAACAAGGAAGAGGGCCGGCAATGGAGGAGGGGGCGTGCCAAAGAGACCATCTTAGCACCAACATAACTGGTTTGTTCCACTTTGGAGTAAGCTGTTGGGGGAAGAATCAGGTTTGTGTTGTGTGTTTCCTTGACTGATGAAGCCTTCTGGATCGAAGGTGAAACGTTTCAGCACAAAAAAGAAACTGTCCAGATGATCTGACTGAAAAATGTTGGATTGTATACCTGGATTATTAAGCATGGACTTTGTTGTTAATACTCTGAGTAATTTTTGAGAAGAGTACTTTGTACTTTTACTGGAGTGTTTTTATAACACCAGTACTTTTACTTGTAATTGAGTACTATTTAAGCAGTGTAACAATACTTGTACTTGAGTACAAATTTTCAGTACTCTTTCCACCTCTGGTTTTAAGCCAAGACCAAAAATAAAGTCGAAACACACCAGTTTACAATAAATCAAACCACAACCTGCTAAAAAATTATTTTCTTCATGAAGCTTCTTTTGTGCCTGAAGTCGATAAAACTGCAAGAAAGTAAACAAACTTATATTTGCAATTTTAAATGTCAAAAATAACGGCGTAAACTTTAACTTAGGAGAGTTGAAATATCCTCTAAGAAATGTGCAAACTAGTGTGTACGCATTATTAAAGGTAGTTTATACTATCGTTTGAAATATAGCTCACATATAAAATTGATTTATTTGGATAAATGTGGCTTTTAAGTTAATTTTTAGACCAACTCTGTGATGTTTCATTGATTTATTCGTAACGGAAACAACAAAAAAATCGCCCGGATGCACAAGTTGTTGTTCAAGTGAGTGAATCGTAACTCCCCACATTCTTCTGTAATCCCACGATTCAAGTGTTTTATGTCAAAGGACTTTTCGCTGTGCATGAAGGGAGCTTCAGGCTACTAATAAAGTTGAACTCCTCCTCACTCCAAAGGTCCTTCTGTCTGAAAACAAGAGCAGAGAGCCAGATGAGAGGGAGGGAGGGATGGGAGCGCAGGAACAGGAGGAGGACAGCGCTCCTTCAGAGGGGAAGAAGCAACAAAAAAGTTCGAAAGATGTTTATTTCTGCGTCCTGCCAGACAAATATGAACCGCTGATCGAAGAGGAGGAGGAGGAAAAAGAGACAGAGGAGGAGAGAAGGAATAGAAAGCAGGAGAAGAAGCAAAAGAGGAAGAACAAATACAAGAAATACAGAAAGGTAAGACCTTTGATCTTAGGAGGTGTGTGAGAATTAAACGTCCAAAACTGAAAAAATTATAAATTATATCCTCATTATGATTACATGGTGCACGGCAATAAATTCATCTGTTCATGTAGAAGGACCGATATGCAATAAAATATAAACAATACAACATCAACAAAAACAATATGCTAAATATCAAAAATAATATATGGTAACAAATAGAAATAAAACATACCAAGTCTAATGATTTATACATTTTATAGAAAAACAAGATATAAATTTAAAAAAATTGTAGAATTATTACAAATATGTAACGTACAACTGAATAAACCTGAAAATAATAATTGAAAAACACATTGTGCGTTAATTTGAATTCGTGAACGGCATGAAAATGAGAAAAAAAATCTAATAACTTTTAGTAATGAAAATATCAATATCAAATTTAATCAATCTTGTTTGAACTAAAAACCTTTTTATAGTATAAAAGTTTAGTTTTTCAGTCGACAATTAATTTAGTAAATAACATTAAAATGGGATAGTATTTTATTAGTAAAACAACAGACTGTAGGATAAAAGTTTTAGCGTAATACGTGATATAAAAACATTTACTGAGATAAAATATGATTTATGACGAGGTGGTAAAAATATAGAATCGTCTTTGTGGACATTCCAAGCTTGTTAGCTGCTGCCTCTGGACGATGATGCAGCTGGTAAACATTGACTCGAAACTCTAAATCTGACCTTTGACCCCAAAGCACGGCAAATATACCGGTAATAACCTATTGAAACTGCAAACAACATTGTCTTTTAAGTGATTAGTTCAGAAGTTTCACCCATTAACGAAACCTGTTTACTCAGGACATGCTTTGACTGAAAGCGCCGAAGCTTTGTTGCTTCTACAACTGACTCCGCCCACATTACTCATACTGGAGTGGCACACGGGTTGAACAAAATATGCTTCTATAGATGAAGAGGAACTTCTGTAGACTTAAAACTTTACAAATTAAACTTTCAGGAACGTATCTGGAAGTCATTTCCAAACTGATGTGGACACCAAAACCCACCCACACAGACCAGTATTTGCAGTTTGACTCCCATCACCCTCTGGAGCACAAGTTACGAGTCATCAGGACTCTGTACCACAGAGCAGACAGCATCCCCACTAGCTCAGGAGCCAGGCAGAAGGAGAAATCCCACACAAGACAGGCTCTAGAGCAATGTGGATGTCCTAACTGGGCCTTCCTGAAAGCAGAGAAGAAACCCAAACAGGACTCCAGTCAGCCAACAGGTGAAAAGGAGGAACCCAGACCCAGACCAGTGGTCATTCCATATGTTGAGGGAGTATCAGAGAAACTGAGACGTTTATTTTCTAAACATAACGCCCCAGTGGCTTTTAAACCCCAAAATACATTACGGCAAAGACTGGTTCATCCCAAAGATCCAGTCCCTCGGCACAAACAGAGCAATGTTGTGTATGCTGTTCAGTGTCAGGAGGGTGATCAATCTTACATCAGGGAAACTAAACAGCCACTGGCCAAAAGGATGGACCAGCACAGAAGATTAACATCATCAGGCCAGGACTCTGCGGTCTACACTCATCTCCAGGCCAGCTGTCACTCTTTCAGGGATGAAGATGTTCACATCCTGCTTATCAGGCACTTATAGCTGCCGCCTGCTCCACATGGGTGTATCTCACTGTGATGGGTTAAATACAGAGAACTAATTTTGTCATTGTATGACAACACATAGAACTTTCTTTCTTTCTTCTTCTCATAGTGGATCAACCGGTTTGTTTTTGACATCCAGAACTAGCTATTCACATGATAAAGGAGGACCATCAGCCTAACAATTGATCATCAGTGCCCTGATGGCCCTTGCTATTCACAGAGGGATGAGTGATACTAGCAATAACAGCATTGTAAGAGGGGGACAAATGGACTAAGGAGGCCTCTGCCCATTTTACGATGGATGGGTTCTTTTCACAAAAATGCCCTCTCTCAAAACAATGTTTCTCTGTATCCAGTTAGGGATTAGGGATATCTGACTGTATGATTGTTTTCTTATGTGTACTGTACAACACTTTGGTCCTGTGGGCGTTTAAAGTGCTCTATAAATAAAGCTGGTATGGTATTAGGTGTCTTGATCGAAGACATCACGACATGTGGGTATGGCTGAGAGTTGAACCTGTGACTTTCTGGTACCAAGTCGGCTGCCCTACCTCCACTCCATCTTGGGCCCTATTTCTCGGCACAGCAAAGGTGTTGTTTATTAGACAGTTTGTTGCAGCGGCTCAGACTGAAGAAGTCTTTTGGATAAAAGAAGAAACGTTTCAACCAAGAAGAGTCCGTCCAGAGGACCTGACTCAACCTTGTTAGATTTATCTACCTGGATTATTGAGAATGCATCAGGACTTCTGTAAGTACCGCATTTTCTGCCGGACACATCGCACCGCCTTATACGTAGCATCAGTCCAAATATGTCTAAAAAGTGGGAAAACCCATAAATATGGCGCTTCGCCGTATACGTCGCATCTATTATGCGTCGTCGCTGATAACCCGGAAAGGTGGGCTGGTGCTGTGCGAAAAATCGATGGATTGCCAAATGGCGGCCGCGGGAGCGTGCACGCGAGGACTTTAACAAGAATTTAACAAGATTAACACTTAAAAACAATTATTTCTTTGCTCGAAATTACAGCAAAGGTGTGTCTCAGTCTAACGTTTGCTTAATAAAAGGACTTTGACGGTCAAATCAGCTGAATTTCAAAAATAGCTTTGCTGCCTCGGTGCTCCGGGAGCGCGCAGAGGGAGGAAAAAAACTTAGGAGGAATGCTACTCGTTTCTTCGAAATTTAACAAGATAAACATCTAAAGCAATTATTTGTTTGCTCGAAATTATAGCAAAGGTGTGTCTCAGTCTAATCTTTGCTTAATAAATGCACTTTAAAGGTCAAATTGTCAAATTAGCTGCATTTCGCCAGGGCGGTGCATCTGGTTTAACTTGCTCCAAGCAGCGAGCAGAACGAAGGTGGGGGGACTGTGGCAAGCCGATTATGTCATTAATAGCTGGTGAAGATTCTCAGTCATCCAGGACATGTAAATTAAAAAAAGTTCAAGAAAACAAAAAAAAAACAATAAGCATAAAGTATAAGAAATAAAGTCCAGTTGTTTTTGTCATGAACTTTTTTTGAATTTGTCATTATAGCCACGTTTACCTATTACATGGTACAACGGCATGCCATACTGCTACTACTACTCTGCTGCCATCTAGTGGCTGAAAATGGTACTGCTGATTTTTTTTTTTTTTTTTTTTTTTCAGTCAGAATGAATGAAAACGGTCATATCTCAGCCAAAAACTGGTTTATAAATATGTCGCTTCGGCCTATAAGTTGCAGGGCATGCCAGTTATAAAAAAAAATAAAAAAAAAAAACCCGCGACTTACAGGCTGAAAAATACGGTAGCTTTCCAAAGCCATTCTGATGATAACCACTAGAGGGCGCTACAATACACCAGTTACATAAAAGGTAGCCCCCATCCGACTTCATATTTTGATTTAAGGAAGCTTTCTGTTTCTGGAGTGTTTTTAATCTTTATTTTAAATCATGCAGAATTAGAACCTTTTTTTTTTTTTTTTTACTTTTATAGATTCACTTGCTCCTTTACATTTTTGAAAATGTTGCTTGTTGACAAAGCTCCACTTATGTAATACTACAGTTTAGCCATCAGTAAAATATTAGTTTTAATGTTTTTTTTTTTATCTTACCGTTATCCCTTCTTGTTTACGTCAACAATAAACAAAGTGCTTTGGCGGGCTGTTCGGAACCTGGAAAAGTTATCATAGTTTAGTGTCTCCAAAACTGGTGAAATTTATTCTGAAAGATCCAAATGAATGACTTTCCAAATAAAAATTGGTAACGGAATCATAGTTCGTGCTCTTTAGGACTTCACCATGATTTACATGCTTCAGTTCTTCCATATTTATATTTTATTTGCGATTTATAAATGAAACTACTAAACTTGCTGAGGCCGATGAGTTTTAAATTCAGTCTAAATCATTGGCTCAGTTGGGGATTTAAAAATTGGCTCAGAGATTCAGGGCCCGTCTTTGTTTGTGCCTTGCTGCGTGGCAGGAGTCAAACCACTAACCTTCTCCTTCTGTGGTGCAGAACTTGAGGAAGGCGCTGAGCTTCAGTTGGCGCTGCTTGCTCGCGGGCCTGCAGAGCATGGCGTCCACCTACTCCACACCGCTCTCTGCTGTGGCCACCGTGGCGACGGAGATGAACCTAGCCGGCAGCAGCAAGGCATGATGGGATGCAGGCGACATTGGGACCCTTGGATTAAAAACATGATACTAGTGTTTACTTTAATCTGTGTGGATTAGTGTTTTTATTTTCCATTATTAGTGAAACACGTTCTGAGTCACACGTATCAAATAAATGTTTTATTAAACAGTCTGCGGAGCTGCTTTCCAGATCCTCTTCATCAGGTCAATACGAAAAATAAATCCTAACATTCATCTTTTCCTTTTTATTAGTTTCCTCATTTTTATATTGATTTTTTTTTACATCTTCTGTGCATCTTCCATGTTTATTCCTTTCCATTTGGTTTCCTGATAGATTTATGTTTCTTTCCACACGGCAGTGCTACCTTTAATTTAATTAAAGGTTTCATTTTGATTTAATCCTCCTCGACTCCTAGTTTCATTCAATGTGTTTTTAATTCTTAAAGGGATAGACCTTGTTTGATGGACATTTGCTTCAGTTTTCAAACAGATTGTGTAAAAATACTGCAGACTGTTTAGTTTTTAGAAGTTTGAAGTGACAAATATCACATATAGCCATGTTTTTTTTTGTTGTTTTTTTACATTGCAATGCATTCTGGGTAGATGATTGTTGGCTAATTTAATTATCCCATCTGCTGATTAAATAAATAAGCCACACAGGAAGGAGAAGATATTTTATTTCTTAACCCAGGACTTGATCTTGCAAGATGGAACAGCGTTGAAATACGAGCAGGTAAGATGCTTACTGTACTTGCTGCTGTATAAGTTGCATCTATTATGCGTGACCGCTGACCACCCGGAAATGTGGGCCGGTGTTGCGCCAAAAATCGATCGGCTGCCAAATGGCGGCCGCAGGAGCGTGCGTGGGAGGACTTTAACAAGATTAACACTTAAAAACAATTATTTGTTTGCTCGACATTATAGGAAAAGTGTGTCTCAGTTTAACTTTTCCTTAATAAATGCACTTTAACGGTCAAATCAGTTGCATTTGCCACGCTGCCCAGGTGAAATTCAGCTGATTTGACGTTTGCTCCGTGAGTTCTGGAGAGAGATGAATGTGGCTATGTATGGCAAGCCAAGTGTGTCGTTAATAGCCACCTTTACCTATTAATGAGACACTTGGCTTGCTATATTACTCGACTGCCCTCTAGTGGCTGAAAATGGTAGTGTTCAATATTTTCCATGTCAGAATGAATGAAATAGTCAGATCTCTGCCAAAAATTGGGTTATAAATATGGGGGGTAAAAACAAATTAGTCGCTTCGCTGTATAAGTTGCGGGGCAGAGAAAAATACGGTACATGTCGCTTCGTCTCCAAGTCTGTTCAAAGACAGGATAAAGAAGTGTCTTTTTATAACGGTTATAAAACAGTAGCATTTCTTTTTAATGGCAAAGCATAACATTAGGCTCCATTTCCTCCTCAGCCAGCCACATCCCTTGTCCATCCGGTGATGGTATGATGCTTCAGGTGTTTTGCATTTGGACTGTGAATGCATCACAGGAGACTTTTCATTTTGGACAGTCTCCTTCTGGTTTCGAGGCCTCAAATTCCTGTGGCTAGTATTGTTTTTAGTCCAAGTCCAGTCCAAAATGTTAATTTTAATGTCAAAAAAATGTATCTGGCAAAAGAACATGTACAAAAAATAATAACAAATATAAAATCATCTCTTATCCTGATGCATGCTAATAATCCAGGTAGAAAAATCCAAAAAAAAGTTAAGTCAGGTCCTCTGGACGAGTTCAAAAAACAAACAAACAAACAAATTGTTGAAACGTTTCGTCTTTCATCCAAAGGACTTATTCAGTCTGAGAAGCTGCAACAAACTCAGTTTTATAAATAGCACCCTCTCATAGTGGATCAACCAGTTTGTTGTTGACATTCAGAACTAGCTGTTCACATGATCAAGGACGAACATCGCGAAAGTATTCGCCCCCCTTGAACTTTTCAACTTTTTGCCACATTTCAGGCTTCAAACAAAGTTATAAAATTTTAATTTTTTGTGAAGAATCAACAACAAGTGGGACACAATCGTGAAGTGGAATGAAATTTATTGGATGTGTCAAACGTTTTGAACAAATAAAAAACTGAAAAGTGGGGCGTGCAATATTATTCGGCTCCTTTACTTTCAGTGCAGCAAACTCACTCCAGAAGTTCAGTGAGGATCTATGAATGATCCAATAATGTCCCAAATGACTGATGATGATAAATAGAATCCACCTGTGTATAATCAAGTCTCTGTATAAATGCACCTGCTCTGTGATAGTCTCAGGGTTCTGTTCAAAGCGCAGAGAGCATCATGAAGACCAAGGAACACACCAGGCAGGTCGGAGATACTGTTGTGGAGAAGTTTAAAGCCGGATTTCCCAAGTTTTAAACATCCCAAGGAGCACTGTGCAAGCAATCATATTGAAATGGAAGGAGTATCAGACCACTGCAAATCTACCAAGACCCGGCCGTCCCTCTAAACTTTCATCTCGAACAAGGAGAAGACTGATCAGAGATGCAGCCAAGAGGCCCATGATCACTCTGGATGAACTGCAGAGATCTACAGCTGAGGTGGGAGAGTCTGTCCATAGGACAACAATCAGTCGTACACTGCACAAATCTGGCCTTTATGGAAGAGTGGCAAGAAGAAAGCCATTTCTCAAAGATATCCATAAAAAGTGTTGTTTAAAGTTTGTCACAAGCACCTGGGAGACACACCAAACATGTGGAAGAAGGTGCTCTGGTCACATGAAACCAAAATCCAACTGTTTGGCCACAATGCAAAACGATATGTTTGGTGTAAAAGCAACACAGCTCATCACCCTGAACACACCATCCCCACTGTCAAACATGGTGGTGGCAGCATCATGGTTTGGAGCTGCTTTTCATCAGCAGGGACAGGGAAGATGGTCAGAATTGATGGGAAGATGGATGGGGCCAAATACAGGACCATTCTGGAAGAAAACCTGTTTGAGTCTGCAAGAGACCTGAGACTGGGACGGAGATTTATCTTCCAACAAGACAATGATCCAAAACATAAAGAAAAATCTACAATGGAATGGTTCACAAATAAACGTATCCAGGTGTTGGAATGGACAAGTCAAAGTCCAGACCTGAATCTAATCGAGAATCTGTGGAAAGAGCTGAAGACTGCTGTTCACAAACGCTCTCCGTCCAACCTCACTGAGCTCGAGCTGTTTTTCAAGGAAGAATGAGCAAAAATTTCAATCTCTCCATGTGCAAACATGGACATGCCAAGCACACGGTGAACTAAAAACTCAGTTTAAAACACAATAAAACGACGAGTTAAACAGATAAAACCAACCAGTAAAAATAAATTATAATCCAGTCTCAGCTGTGTTGAAGTCCAATGAGAAGAGATGAGTTTTCAGACGAGTTTGAAACATGGACAGTGAGGGAGGTCTGTCGAATGTGTAAAGGCAGAGCATTCCATAACTTAGTGGCACTAACAGAGAAGGCCCCGTCTCCTCGAAGCTTCCTCTTATTCTTGGGAATGACCTGAAGCAGCTGGTCAGTTTATTTATACAGCGCCAAGTCACAACAGAAGTCATCTCAGGACACTGAACAGAAACATTCACATTTAAAATTAACATTATTTATCTGAGGATTTCACTTTAACTCCATCGCAGAACTCTCATCTTGAGCAAGAATGAAGGTGACAGTGGAAAGGAAAAACTCCCACATGAGGATCCTGATGCATGCTCAATAATCCAGGTAGAAAAATCCAAGAGAGTTAAGTCAGGTCCTCTGGATGTTCAAACAAACAAAACAAACAAACAAACAAACAAAAAAAAGTGGAAAGGGTTTGTGTTTCATCCGAAAGACTTCTTCAGTCAGTTCAGTTTTTTGAACGTCCAGAGGACCTGACTTAACTTTTTTTAGATCCCTCATGAGGAAGAAACCTTTAGCAGAACCAGACTCAGGACAAGCGGCATCTGCTTCGACCGGCTGGGTTCGAGAGGAACAGATACACAATGGCAGGTCAAGAATCACGTTAAGATCGAAATAGTATCAACTGAAAACTATTCAGTTTTAACAATTCATTTAAAGAAATTAGGTTAATTTGTCCTCCAGTAGTCTAAGCCTATAGCAGCATAACAAGCCAACCCTAACTATAGGATTTATCAAAAAGGAAAGTCTTAATCCCAGTCTGAATACTGGTCTATGTGTCAGCCTTATGGACAGAAACTGGAAGTTGGTTCCACAAGAGAGGAGCCTGAGAACTGAAAGATCTTCCTCCCATTCTGCTTCTGGAAACTCTAGGAACCACAAGTAAGCCTGCAGTCAGCCTCCCTTCAGTTTTTTTTTATATTCCATCTCCCACTCCGTGCTTTTTACTGTCACTGACATTTACATATCCGTTTTGTTTGTCTCATGTTGTATGCCTTTGTGACATTTTGTTTACAATTCCTAATATTTATGTATATTTTACTGAATCCTTACATCATTTTTGAACAACTCCTGTTGTCCTCTTATGTGTCTTTTTAAATTCTCTATTTCATCTACACCTCCTTAAAGTCCTCTTATTGCCCTGTTCTAACTTTGAGATATGTTTCTGCCATCGATGTCAAAATAAAAAAAGAACTTCTTCAATTTCTTGAACGGTTTCTTTCAAAATAAGAAATGTTCACTATGGTTCCATTGTGAATAAAATGATGTATGAGATTTGTGAATGTCTTAACTTTTTCAGAATTAGAGTCGTATTTTAATCTAAGCTACTTTTCCCACCTTTTTTTTATTCCTTTAACTTTATTTATTTTTTTCTTCAAAATTTGTCCTTATCTGCTTTTTTCCTGCGCTCCTCTGTTCCAGTTGGGTGCAGTGATAAGGACTGACCACCGGGCGTCGCTGTTTCCCCGCAGTGATAGACGCGGCCCTCCTCCGGGGAGGCGCGCGGTGAAGAAGGCGTGGACAGAACTGGACAAAAGTCCGTTTGTGAATTTGACCCGCCTGCTGGCAGTCAGGCTGGCAGCTCACTTTATGTAACAACCTTGTGGCCGCAGCAGCTGTTCAGAAACCGGAGCGGCTCAGAAAAACACGATGAGCAGCTCCTGTCCTGTCTGTGTCTGTCGGAACCGGTGAAAAGTCACACGCTCCGGTCCGGACAACACGGAGACGCAGCAATGTCCCCGCTGCAGATCTCGGTCTACTGGCGCCTCTTTCTCATCTACTTCTTAACTCCTTTTCTCTTCTTTCTCGACATCTTCACGGCCGCCATCGCAGCCAAAACCTGTCGCCATGACAACGCAACTAACAGTCCCGCTGTCGGGTCTGGGCTGCTTCCGCTACAGAGCAACCAATCAGAGCGCGGGGAATTTTCCGGAGGTGAAGCTGATTGGTGGACCCAAAACGTGAGTTTAAATGACTTTGATGAGTATTTTGGGTATCACTTTTTATCTGTTAATTAATATATTAATATCTAATAATTTTATCAAATAAAATGTATTTATATAGCATATTTAAAAACAACTCTCATAGGCTCAAAATGCTCTAGTGAGCTAAAAACAAGAGTCCACAAGAAACAATGAAATAAAAACTATATAAAAATCTAATTTTAGAGCTGCAGATGGTCAGTCATAGTATGGCAAATAAAGACTTTTCTGTAATGTTTTCTATTATTTTTTATTTACATATACATACATACATATATATATACATACATACATATATATATACATACATACATACATATATATATA